TCCTTCTTATCAGAATTTTACAAATGAGCATTACATTCTCCAAAGCTTTGCAGTTTGTTGGGCTGTATTACCTTGCTGGCATGACTCATGACAGAAACTAAGTTCAGCTTGCTTCTTGGTAGTATAAAGGTTTTTTTTTTGTTTGGTTGGTTGGTTGGTTGTTTTTTTATTTTGAGACAGAGTCTCACTCTGTCACCCAGGCTGGAGTGCAGTGGTACAGTCTCGGCTCACTGCAACCTCTGCTTCCCTGGTTCAAGCCATTTTCCTGTCTCAGCCTCCCATGTAGCTGGGATTACAGGTATGCGCCCTTCTTGGTAGTATAAAGGTTTTTTTGTTTGTTTGGTTGGTTGGTTGGTTTTTTATTTCAAGACAAGAGTCTTGCTCTGTCACCCAGGCTGCAGTGCAGTGGTACAGTCTCCACTCACTGCAACCTCTGCTTCCTTGGTTCAAGCCATTCTCCTGTCTCAGCCTCCCGTGTAGCTGGGATTACAGGTATGCGCCACCATGCCAAGCTAATTTTTGTATTTTTAGTAGAGACAAGGTTTCACCATGTTGGCCAGGCTGGTCTCGAACTCCTCACTTCAGGTGATCCACCTGCCTCAGCCTCCCAAAGTGCTGGGATTACAGGCATGAGCCTCCACGCTCTGCCAAAAGGTTTTTTTTTAAATCTTTATTTTTCCTTCTTTAAAAATTTTTGCCGGGTGCAGCAGCTCACGCCTGTAATCCCAGAACTTTGGGAGGCCAAGGGGGGCAGATCACAAGGTCAGGAGTTCAAGACCAGCCTGGCCAATATGGTGAAACCCCATCTCTTAAAAATAATAATAATAATTTTAAAAAATTAAAAAATATTTTAAATGATATCAGATCTGATTTCACGTTTCTCTTCTGATATTTGTTTTTCATTGATAATGTAAGTGACTATGGGAGCTTACCAAGGTCTATCATATCATATTAAAGTAATGATTTCTAAGTATAAAGCATCAGAGTTGTAAACAGACTCCATTGATGAGCTTCATTAATCCTTCCACTTGATCTTTCCATTTTTCAAAGATATTCCAATTTGATTTCAAAGAGCATTTCTATATCTTTATAATTGAGATTGCCAATATTCATGGATTTTGGCTTTTTTCTTTCAAAGATCTTAAGAAGAGACAAGCTCTGGGGAAAACTATTTAAAACTCAAGCATCAACATCAAAACAAAACGACAACATTATATTTGTTTTCTGTAGCCAGTTAGATAAGGCTGTAAACTGACAGGCCAGTGCAGGAAAACACTGACTCAAATTAATTCAATTTAATTTGAATCAGTTAATTCAATTAAGTTCAGTAATGTTTACTGAGAACTATTATATGATAGGCACTGTGCTAGACACTAAAGGTACACAAACAGGAGTAAAAGGTAGTACCAGCCTTTGGGAAGTATGTCATCTACTCGGAAATACTGAAATGTACCTACATAACCATCATGAGGGAAAACATGATCTAATGATTAAAGGTATGCAGATATGAGAAACAGCAGCCAAATCTGAACTGGGGGATCAGGGAAGGCTTCATTCACCAAAAAGGATAACAGTTTCTTGCCCATGAAGGATCTTGTATTATATCTGTACCTACCCAACGAAACTGAGTTGCCCTGGCCACATTCGCCTCTGGCCGCAGTTGGGGCCACACTCACCTCATTTGTCTCATTTTTCTGGCTCATGCTTTTTTGTATGAACGGCATCTCTACTTCTGCTGTAAAGCTTTACCCTGTTATTTCTGAACACTCCTTGGACAAGTTATGAAAACTCTCATTTACTCATCTGTAAAATAAAGATAATATTGTCTCCATAGAATTGCTGTATTAAATGAGACAATGTATGTAAAATTCATGGAATAGCTGTTATTATTTTATACTTGCACTATCTAACCCATCCAAAATAACTGACTAATGATCCACTGAGAGAAGTAAGGTAAGAGAGATAGGAAGCAAAGCCCCTCTCCCATTCCTCCTCCAGACAAACTTCATTTTAGGTCTATAAGTTGAAAAATGATAAAAGTGGAGAAAAGAAAGATAAATTTCTCTTTTGGTTCTATAATCTTCCAGCTTAAAAAACAAAAGTATTTGTTCTCACTCATAATTGGGAGCTGAACAATGAGAACACATGGACACAGGGAGGGGAACACACACACCAGGGCCTGTGGGTGGGTGGGGGGCAAAGGGAGGGAGTGCATTAGGACAAGTGCCTAATAATCCATGTGGGGCTTAAAACCTAAATGATGGGTTGATGGGTACAGCAAACCACCATGACACATGTATACCTATGTAACAAACCTGCATGTTCTGCACATGTATCCCAGAAGTTAAAGTAAAAATTAAAAAAAGAAAAGAAAAGAAAAATAAGAAGTACTTTCCATGATTTTCTTGATATTCTTCTAGTCTATCATACAACTAAAAATGTATACCTCTTTACAAAGAAAAAATAATGGAGACTTAAGGAATTGTGGCAACAGCTATTGCATCTCCAAAATCTTCTATAGGTGGACACGTGGCCTAAGAGTTTGCAGTGTGTGTTTCTAGCTAGCTGTCTTCTAAAACATTTCATTTATCAGTAAATAGAGACATAACTCCCAGGTAGGGAGCTTCAGGTTTCTAAACACCCTCTACAATTTAAAGATCGTTATCAACAAAGTTGTTTTCTACCACTTTTATAGATCCATACCAGCTCATTACAGATTGCATAATCTTAATGAAACTGGCACACAGGCATAATTTGTCATTAAGAACAAATTGTATGATGATGAACTGAGTCAATTAATCAAGCCACTGAAAAGGGCAATTGTTTGAAAAATGAAAGTAGTGTTCTGGTTGTATTGATTATGCACTTTTGTTGGAAACAAACACATTTTACAATACAGTAAAACATTCCTTGATTTTAATTAAACTTTTTTTTTAGATGGAATCTCATTCTGTTGCCCAGACTGGAGTGCAGTGGCACGATCTCAGCTCACTGCAAACTCTGACTCCTGGGTTCAACCTATTCTTCAGCCTCAGCCTCCCAAGGAGCTGGAACTACCTACAGGCATGTGCCACTGCGTCCGGCTAATTTTTGTATTTTTAATAGAAGGTGTCATCATGTGGGCCAAACTGGTCTTGGACACCTGACCTCTGGTGATCTGCCTGCCTCGGCCCCTCAAAAAGTGCTGAGATACTTGTAAGAAATAATACAGAGAGATCATGTGTGTCCTTTACCAAGTTTCTCCCAAAGGTAACATGTTGCAAAACTATAGTACAATATTACAATAAGAATATTGACATTGATAAAATCTACTGGTTTCATGCAGACTTCCCCAGTTTTACATGTACAGTCATCCCTTCATATCCTCAAATTCCACATCCACTGATTCAACCAACTGTGAATCATAAATATTTGGGGAAAGAAAACCAATACAAAATAACAATAGAATAATAAAAAAAATCTAAAAATCAAAGCAGTACAACTATTCATATAGTGTATGCATTGTATTTGTTACTATAAATAGCCTGAAGATGAAGTATACAGGAAGATGTACATAGCTTATATGAAATTACTACATCTTTTTATATCAGGGACTTAAGCATCAGTGGATCTTGGTATTCTGAGGGTCCTGGAATCAATTTCCTGCAGCTACTGAGAGATGACTGTGTGTGCTATGTATATTTGGTTCCATTTAATTTTATCATGTGTGTGTTCACATATTCACCACCACAGTTAAGATAAAGAACAGTTTCATCACCACAAGGATTCCTCATATGGCCATTTTATAAGCCACACCCACCTCCCTTTTCATCCACTAATCTATTTTGGCAACCACAAATCTATTCTTAATCTCTGTAAGTTCATCATTTTCAAGGAAATATATAAGTAGAATTATACAATATGTAACCATTTGAAATTTGCTGTTTTCACTCATCATAATTCCCTTGAGATTCATCCAAGTTGTATAAATTATTGATAAAAATCAATAATAATATTTTTATTAATAGTTATTAAGAAAATTTTTAAATTTTTTTCAGAAGCACAAAACTTACATAGTACCATTATGTGAAGACCTCAAAGAACTTTGGGAACAAGAATTTATTAACCTTTAAGGCAAACTGTAGCTCAAAGTCATGCTTTGAAGGCAGATCAAGGCAGGTACCAGAAGCCAGGTGATTTGCTGCCAGATTGACTCAGTAACTCAGTAGTTTCTGTCAAAATTGAACTTAGAGGTCAGTTGTTTTTCTAACAATAATAATAATTTTTTTTTTTTTTTGAGACTCGGTCTCACTCTGTCACCCAGGCTGGGCAGTGCAGTGGCGTGATCTCGGCTCATTGAAACCTTCACCTCCCAGATCCAAGAGATTTTCCTGCCTCAGCTTCCCAAGTAGCTAGGATTACAGGCACATGCCACCATGCCCAACTAATTTTTGTATTTTTAATAGAGACAGCGTTTCAGCATGTTGGCCAGGCTGGTCTCAACCTCCTGACAAGTGATCTACCTGCCTCAGCTTCCCAAAGTATTGGGATTACAGGTGTGAGCCACCACACCCAGCCAATAATTATTATTTTTAATAGTTATTATTATTGCTGCTGGTAGAAATCCATGGCATAGCTATATCACATGTTAACATTCAGTTGTTGAATGCTATCCGGCTTGTTTCCAGTCTTTGCCTATTGCTAATAAAGCTGTTATGAACATTCTCATATAGATTTTTTGGGGAACATACGTTTTTATCTCTCTGAAACAAATGCCAGTAGTGCAACTTCTGGGTTGAACAGTAAATACAAGCTTGAATTTTTAAGAAACTACCAAACTGTTTTACAAAGTGACTGGACAATTTTACATTTCCACCAGCAATACATGAGCGATCCGGTTTTCCCACCTTTTTTTTTTTTAACATTACATTAATCTATGTAGATGGTAAAATTAGTAAATAAATAAATGACCCATATAAAAACAGCCTGTAAAAAGTCAGTTCAAAAAGTCCAAAGGGTAAAAAGGCAAGAGGTATATTTAAAAGCCACCTCAGGCAAAGGCCTCTCTCTGACTTGTGTCTCAGCTCACGGGGCTTCCAGGTATGCAACAAATGCTTTATACTTCTGAAAAGTACCTGATATACCCTAAAGCTTTGTTCCAGTTAATATATCTTTTTTTTTTTTTAAAAAAAAACAGGATCATGGCCTATAAAATGCTTCAAGTAGCCCTGTGTTCAACATTGCTTATCGGTAAGAACCTATTTCTTTTTTATCATGTCTTTTACAACCATAAAGTTGATAATGCCTTTTGTCTTTTTAAAGAAATGAACAAACACGTTTTATCTATAGGCCCATTCTATAGCACTGGGGGAACTACACTATTGTAGAATGCTGTGGTTTTGAACATGTTAATGTTAACTCAGTGTGTGTGTGTGCGTGTGTGTGTGTGATCATTTTAATGATCCTAATTATATATTAACACAATACTGTTGCTAAGAACATTGTTTATCCAGTCGACACTCAGGAGTCAGTTGTTCAGTTTCCATGAAGTTGTGTGGTTCTGAGTTAGTTTCTTAATTCTGAGTTCTAATTTGATTGCACTGTGGTCTGAGAGACTGTTATGATTTCAATTCTTTTGCATTTTCTGAGGAGTGATTTACTTCCAATTATGTGATCAATTTTAGAGTAGGAGTGATGTGGGGTTGAGAAGAATGTATATTCTGTGGATTTGCAGTGGAGAGTTCTGTAGATGTCTGTTAGGTCCACGTGGTCCAGATCTGAGTTCAATTCCTGGCTATCCTTATTAATTTTCTGTCTCTGATCTGTCTAACATTGACAGTGGAGTGTTAAAGTCTCCCACTATTATTGTGTGAGAGTCTAAGTTTCTTTGTAGGTCATTAAGAACTTGCTTTATGTACCTGGGTGCTCCTGTATTGGGTACATGTATATATTTAGGATCGTTAGCTCTTCTTGTTGCATTGATCCTTTTACCATTACGTAATGCACTTCTTTATCTCTTTTGACCCGTGTTGGTTTAAAGTCCATTTCATCGGAGACTAGGATTGCAACTCCTGCTTTTTTTTTTGCTCTCCATTTGCTTGATAAATCTTCCTCCATTCCTTTATTTTGAGCCTATTTGTGTCCTTTCACATGAGATGGGTTTCCTGAATACGGCACACCAATGGGTCTTGACATTTTATCCAATTTGCCAGTCTGTGTCTTTTGATTGGGACATTTAGTCCATTTACATTTAAGGTTAATATTGTTATGTGTGAATTTGATCCTGCCATTTTGATGCTAGTTCGTTGTTTTGCTCATTAGTTGACATATTTTCTTCATTGTGTCAATAGTCTTTACCATTTGGTACATTTTTGGAGTGGCTGGTACTGGTTTTCCTTTCCTTGTTTAGTGCTTCTTTCAGGAGCTCTTGTAAGGCAGGCCTGATGGTGATGAATCTCTGAGCAATTGCTTGTCCATAAAGGATTTTATTTCTCCTTTGCTTATGCAGCTTAGTTTGGCTAGCTATGAAATTCTAGGTTGAAAGTTCTTTTCTTTAAGGATATTGAATATTGGCCCCCATTCTCTTCTGGCTTGCAGGGTTTCTGCTGAGAGAGCCACTGTGAGTCTGACGGGCTTCCCTTTGTGGGTAACCCGACCTTTCTCTCTGGCTGCCTTTAGCATTTTTTCCTTCATTTTAACCCTGGTGAATCTGATGATTATGTGCCTTGGGGTTGCTCTTCTTGAGGAGTATCTTTGTGATGTTCTCTATATTTCCTGGACTTGAATATTGGCCTGCCTTGCTAGTTTGGGGAAGTTCTCCTGGATAATATCCTGAAGAGTATTTTCCACCTTGGATTCATTCTCTCCATCACATTCAGGTACACCTATCAAATGTAGATTAGGTCTTTTCACATAATCCCATATTTCTTGGAAGCTTTGTTCATTTCTTTTCACTCTTTTCTGTCTATTCTTGCCTTCTCGTTTTATTTCACTGAGTTGATCTTCAATCTCTGATATCCTTTCTTCTGCTTGTTCTATTTGGCTATTGAAACTTGTGTATGCTTTGCAAAGTTCTCATGCTATGTTTTTCAGTTCCATCAAGTGGTTTATATTCTTCTCTAAGCTGTTTATTCTTGTTAGCATCTCATCTAACCTTTTTTCTAGGTTCTTAGTTTCTTTGCATTGGGTTAGCACATGTTCTTTTAGCTCTGAGAAGTTTGTTATTGCCCACCTTCTGAAGCCTGTTTCTGTAAATTCATCAGATTTATTCTCCATCCATCTTTGATCCCTAGCTGGTGAGGCCTTGTGCTCCCTTGCAGGAGGAGAGGCATTCTGCCTTTCGGTGTTTTCATCCTTTTTGTTCTGGACTCTTCCCATCTTAATGGCTTTATCTACCTGTGGCCTTTGTAGTTGGTGACTTTTGGATGGGGTCTCTGAATGGACGTCCTTTTTGTTGATGTTGAAGCTATTTCTTTCTGCTTCTTAGTTTTCCTTCTAACAGTCAGGTCCCTCTGCAGGACCACTGGAGGTCCACTCCAGACCCTGCTCTCCTGGGGATCTCCTGTGGGGGCTGCAGAACAGCAAGGGTTGCCACTGGTTTCTTCCTTTGCTATCCTCATCCCTTAAGGTACCTGCCAGATGTTGGCCTGGGCTCTCCTTTATGAGGTGTCTCTTTGGGTATATGGGGGTCAAGGAGTTGCTTGAGGAGACAGTCTGTTTGTTATAGGAGCTCAAATGCTGTGTTGGGAACTCCATTGTTCTGTGCAGAGCTGCTGGGCAGGTACCTTTAAGTCTGCTGCAGCTGAACTCATAACCACCTATTTTCCCAGGTGTTCTGTCTTAGGAAGGTTGGCTTTATTTATAAGTTCTTGTCGTGCTGCTGCTGCCTTTTTTCATAGATGCCCTGCCCCCGCACAGAGTCGTCTAGTCACAGTCTGCCAGCAGAGGTGTTGCTGAGCCGCCACAGGCTCTGCACAGCTGCTGTGTGAACTGCCTCGGTAGTGGCAGACTGCCTGGGTAGTGGGAGATGCCCTTCCCCTAGCTGAGCTGGATCATCCTGAGTCCAGCTGCACTTGCTGCGAAACTCTCAATCCAGAGTGTTTGAGATTGCTTGTTTCGTGGGGGTGGTACCTGCACAGCCAGACTGCCTAGCTCCCTGTCTCAACCCCCTCCCTTTCAGTTGGATAGACGGCTCTGCCTCCCAGGCATTCCAGGCGCCACTGGAAACAGCCGCCCAGACTTGTGTGAGTTTCTGTGCTGACCCGACACCAGCTAAAACCCCCGTGCTAAAAACTCATGGCGTTTTCAGCCTGGGAATCTCCTGGTCTGTGGGCAGTGAAAACTTGTTTGGAAATGTGGTGAGCACTCACCCTCCGCGCTGTTCTCGCTGGGAACTGCACTCCAGAGCTGTTCCTATTCAGCCATCTTGGATCCTCCCCCGTTTACTTTTCAAAGTACTCAATGTGTCAGCAATTGTAATGCCAGTAAAGTGGAAGTTCCTGAGTTAAAAAGTCACTTAGAAAGCATCCAGTTAGACCTTTGTTTTTTTGTTTGTTTTGTTTTCGTGTGTTGAGACAGTTGCTCTCTGTCACCCAGGCTGGAATGCAATGTTGCAATCACTGCAACCTCAACTCCCCAGGTTTGAGCAATTCTCCTACCTCAGCCTCCTTAGTAGGGACTACAGGTGTGTGCCACCACACCCGGCTAATTTTTATGTTTTTAGTAGAGATAGGGTTTCACCATATTGACCAGGCTGGTCTTGAACTCCTAACTTCAGGTGATCCACCCACCTAGGTCTCCCAAAGTGCTGGGATTACAGGCATGCACCATGTCAGGCCCCTGTTAGACCTCTGAACAGCACACTTGGATATGAAAGCCAATCCACATTTCAGCACCTGTCTCCATTTTTTCCAATTTCCTTTCATCCTCTTTGCCTTCTGTTGTGTTACTTCCTTTATCTGTCCTGTGGCTTTTCACCTTTTGTCGTTTGTAAACCCTCTTCATTTTTCTCTCTTTCCTTGAAATTTTTTTGTTCTTGATTTCTCTCTCCATCTCTTGCCTTCTGTTCTCTGCTTTTTCTTCTTCACATTTTTCTCTCATAACCCAAATTGTTTCTCTTCCATTATCTGTCTCTGTCTCTCCTTTTCTCACCAATTTTTATCCAAATTCAAACAAAGTAAGAGAATACATTCTACTAACCATAACTCTTCTGTCTTCTACCACACAGTTTTGGATCAGTGACCAAAGGTAAGGGGGAAAGAAAGAATTTTGTGCCATTGTGCACAAAAATTAATTACTTGGTGGGGCACGGTGGTTCACGCCTATAATCCTAGCACTTTGAGAGGCCGAGGTGGGTGAATCATGAGGTCAGGAGTTCAAGACCAGCCTGACCAACATGGATAAACCCCGTCTCTACTAAAAATATAAAATTTGCCAGGCATGGTGGCGCATGTCTGTAATCCCAGCTACTCAGGGGGCTGAGGCATGAGAATCACTTGAACCCAAGAGGCAGATGTTGTAGAGAACTGAGACCATGTGCCACTGCACTTCGGCCTGGGCAACAAAGCAAGACTCTGCTCAAAAAAAAAAAAAAATTACTTACTTAACACAGAGAATATTTAAGTTTTAGAAAATATGAATCTAAATATGAGTATTTTAGTCTCTCACAAAATCATAAAATTTATCCTACATTTACAGAAATCTTTGAAATTTTTACACCATTACCAAGACATTTATATATCCTTTTCTCTAGATCCTCTTTCGTACTTTATTCCTAGTGACCATTTATACCTTATTTCAGTACTTAATTTGTGTGTGTTGCTAATTTTTTTGGCAGTGATTTCATCTTTTCTAAAAAATAAATATTTTAAAGGCAAGAACTGAGACTCAGCAGTCCAATAAAAATAGTAAACAAGAAATATTATCTACTTATACTAAGTGTGAAGTGCTTTATTTTCACCATCCCATACACCCATACATGAATATCATTGAACTTAAGGCAAGTCTGTAGTGCTTACTCTCCATCTCTAGTACTAGGTATCAGGTAATACCATGGATATCAGTATTACCTAGACTCTAAGGAAATGGCCAGTAGTAGGCCTATTCTGTGGATCTGCCCAGATATTTTATGTCTTATGACCCCACTGAATCTCATTGCATTTATTTGAAAAACATACAGACATTGAAGGCTACATGTGGGAAATAATTCACAGTTGTGCCATTCTGGGATTGACAAGCTCCTACCAGAGTAC